TTCTCTGCAGGATGTCTTTGGAGATATCCAACTGCATTCCCAGCTATGTCTTTCCGTTTAGGTAAGGTTGTAGGAGGCTCAAGTGTGGATCTACTAGAAAAGATTGGCCAAATTGACTCGAGAAGGGTTTCTCAATCACATTCTGCTTTGTCTTGATCATCAGCAATATTGTTTTCAGCAAACCAGAGTAAATTAAGCTCATTTTCTTGACTGGCTTCATTGATTTCAAAGTCATCAATGTCATCAGAAGCTTCATTTAATTTCATCAAGTCTGATAGTTTAATGAGTTGAGATTGGGCTTGGTGAACGTTGGAGCCTTCATTCAATTCCTCCGAGTCTGTTAGCCCAATGAGTTGAGGGTTCTGCTGATGGAAGTTGAAAGCTTCATTTGATTCTTCAGAGTCAGATATTTCAATGGGTTGAGACCGCTGATGTTGGATGTTGGTCTCACGCTCTGGTCGCTTTTGTTGGGCCCTCTTTGCAGCACTGACCACCATTATGGTCTTGAAAAAGAGGCTAAAGGTTGAATAGGAATGTGTGAGGCACTATTGTACAATATGTAAAGGATCCCACTATTCCTATCCCCCTATCCAATATACGGTGCCCCACTCGGGTCGACCCAGGGGGCGTCAAGAGATTTGTAGCCTCTTTTTCCCAAAAGAGGGCTGCGTCAAAGGGCGCTATTTTCATTTTTTTTTATTCTGATATTTCTTGTGAAGGTAAACTTTCCAATTTGAATATGTAGTTTACAATCTTATCTTTTTCAATTTTACTGTAAACTTTTCATCTTTGTCAAAATTGAATTGGACAGATGAACGATTCTAACAGAGTTGGCGTATTGGCATATTTGTTTATTCATTGGTGTAGTAAGTGGCACATATGAGATACACAATGAGACTAACAGAAAAAAAGATCAAAAGACACAAAAGATCACTACAGCTCTGTGATGTGATACCAATTTGCCCTAAAACAAGCTTAACATAGGTTTGGTTTTACCAGTAGCACTAGATTTGGGAAATAGATAAGTGGTAGGTAATGAATGAGTGGGAGGGTAGGAATTACATTGGATGATTGGTCAAAAGTCTTGTTTTGGTTGACTTAGATTGGTTTGTTGTACTGTTTTTGCATTATTAGCCTTTGAATACGGAAGCCCTGAGCAAGGGGGGTCCGCCAATCATCAAATCAAATTGTCAATTGTAAATTACAGTGGGGTGTTGGCCACTTTACATATACACATAACACAAAACTACACCCCTCATTTCAAAAATCAACTCAAACAATCATCACCACTCACTCTTCAAGACCTTCATCATCTCCCCGGATACACAGGACAGGCTTTGTTAAGCATCATGCTTAAAAAAGTAGAAGACTCATATTGGTGCATCGGATGGACACCATGGACGCGTAAGCCTCCCAATTTCTCCCCTAAATTACCCAAATTCCCTTCGAAAATTGACTTTTATCCCTCATTCTCTAACAGTAGCTTTGTTATACCTCGAAATAGCCATGCCTCTTCCAATCTTTCAAACTGGACCGTGCCCTGGGTGCAGTGCTCTTTTCAAATTTCGAATCAAAGATGTGTGCGATGAATGTACCGATCTGGAGAACATCAAGGAAGGATTGCAAATTCCACGAAAGGATTACTGTGAGGGTTGTGGTGATGGATACCAACATTTGAAGGACAACATCTGTGGTCCTTGTTGAGGATTATCTTCTAATTTATCGGCAGTTGCATCTCCGCTTTTGAATGTCAGACTCGGCTTGAATTCAAACAATCATCAAAGCCGACAAGCTAGCTCTTCTCGTTCTTCCCGCTCTCTGACAACACCCGATATATTAACCAAAATCGATGAACTTACTCCAAGTTCCTATAGTGAGGTGTCTCAAAGTCGAAAAATTGGTACAAAGATCCCAACTGCTGTCACCATTGGCCAGAAAAAACACAATCAACACAGCCTCATTAAAGCACCAACTAGCCTGACTTTACCAGATTCCCATCGGTCTCACTCATCAATTAGTCGTGGTCCAAGGGGCATCAATCATCCATCAAAGATACAATCAACAAACAATACTAAATCCACACCAATTGATTTTGTCCACCAGATTGATGGCAACCCAATGCCACACAATTTCACTGCTTTCACGATCTCAGTGGATCTCAGCAATCGATCATGGTATTCAAACTTTAAGAAGGGTGCATTTGAGTTCTTCCGTATGAAATCAGTCGATAAATTACCAAGCAAATTTCAATTAGATGATGGGTGTCCTGAGGTCCCAGAATTTGACAAGCGATGGGTATACTTAGGTCAGGTTCGAAATAAGAGGAGTGTTATTTTCTCTTTGGAACAGCATGTTGTTGAGCTGTTGGAGCGTCCACCACAACGGGGTGCTTTATTCTTTGTGATGTTTAATGCCAACGATTATCTTCATGTCAAGCAATCAGAAAATGCAGCTACCTACATATCCAACAAGAAGAAAAAGCGGCGGTATGGTGGTGACTCAGAGGCATACTTGCCTTCTGATGATCTTTCTGATTCTTTGGCTGGAGAAACAACAAATCATCTTACCATTTGCAAATCCAAACGATTACGATTACAATCTCCGTCAGGAAGCTGTGATGAATCACAGCTTCCTTCTCAAGGATCCGATGGTGGTGGTCTCCCAGATATTGATGATTATCTTGATGATAATTCCTCTTTCTCATCACATATTATAATTACAAAGCTGACTAAACTGCATATTATACAGGTCCAACTGTCACCCCGACACAATTGAAGACACCATTCAAGGAGACACAGAGTAAGTGAATGAAACTCCAATAGGTTATTGATTCAGGTATGGTTTTGATACTTTTGAATATATGTAAGACCAAACACTCTAAGTAGTTACCTCTGAATCAGTAAACTTACCCGAGAAACGCACTTGGGTGTCAGAAGTAGGAGGTAAGTCAAATTACATTCCCAGTAGTGTCTATCAGCTCAAGGCTGAATCAATTGCTTTACTTTAGTTTTGGATCCTACATTGAAACCAATACCACTTGCAATTTCAAAATCTTTGGAAACTGCAGGTTGCTGCCCTGATAACACTCGACCGTGGTATTTAGGAATTGCAAAAACGTTAACTATCCTGCAGGAGTCAGAGGAATCTGATACTGCCTCTGTGGCTGGGGAGTTCGAAATTGGATGGATTCGCCTTGAAGACTTTGTTAAATTTAATGAAACCGACCCCTCCTATGTGGGTGATGTGATGCTTGGGAGTGAATTATTCACAAACTTCCTCTTGAATCCTTACGGCGGCTCTACATATGGTTCTTCAATCGATTACAATCCAAGTGATCCAAACTATAGGCTTTGTTTGAGTGCGGAGGTACAGAGATTGATTGTGAGCTTTCAAAAGAAGGTGATTGATAACTTGGGAATTGCACCTGATATGCGAGAAATGTGTCTTTCACTCCAAGTAAGTCCTAATAGTATATTTTAATGACGTACTTCAACTAACTATTTACACCATTTGGTCAATTGCATACAGGTTGCTAAAACTCTCACCTTTACAACCGCTCATGAATGCAAGGAACATCCCAGGCTATTTTTATGTAGGGAACAAGGAGTCAGAGAATTGGAATCTTACATGACTCCAACAGACTTTACACTAAAGAAACCGTACAAAAATCTGCACCAAATCATGCATGCTCTGGCCCATTCTAGTCTAGATGATAATGATGGCAAAGCGATGGTAGTGGTGTTGGAATCTCAGGGAGGATTAATTACTGATTTTTCGATGCTGAATTTGACGTAAGTACAGGTTTATAGCTAATAAAAACTTGCAGTACAGCAGTATACTGATGCTAAGGTTGGATTTTTTGCTTCAAGTTGGCCGTTGGAGAGTGAAAACCAAGGTGAAGTACGGATTCAAAATTTCAGGGCTAGCCATCACTGTTCACCTCTATGTGGTCTCCTTGGCCTCCATAAATGTGATGTACCATACGGAGAGCAGGGAAGTATTGATGAGATTTAGCTGCTGTGGTTTGTTTTAATGCTAAACTTCTACAGAGTGTAGAAAATGAAAAGAAATTGAAAGTCATATTTGACACTTTTTCATATACATGCAGTTGAGAGAAGTGGAGTGATTCTTGCTACATAACAAATGATTTGAGAAGCAAAACAAATGAAGGTAACAAATGATATCGGATGAAAAGAAATTGAGATAAAAAAGAACTAGCTGCAGATCAGAGCAACTGCAAAACTGGTCAAGCCAGGCGCGCACATCTATGCCTTGGTCTTTGCCTCCCTGACATCAGACTGGCACCATGATCCAGTTTTAACAAGACTGAGTACATGTCATTCTCCCTTTTCGAGAAGGTTCTGCATTGCACAAATAAAGAAGCAGTCATTCTTTTTCCAGCTCAGTCTAATGATCAATGTACATGAAATAAAGAAGCATTCATTTTTTTTCTATCTCAGTCTAAAGATCCACATACAAAAAATCATTACTATGGCTTCCACTTCTTCCAATATATCACTACAATCCAAGATCTTACGCTCACAAGCTGAGGTGAAATTATATTGCTCCTCTGTGTCCTTCTTCACTGCTGCTTTTGCAAGGCTTGAGGTGATCTGAGAAGAACACCCTAGGCGAGTATAATGAATTTTCTTACCATCTGGTCTTGGGATCTCCACTTCCTTCGATTGCATCGTTTGATGAAAGGTACTCTTAACACTCCATGCAATTTGCAAAGCATATTTCCGGCCCGTTTTTAAGGCAATTTGCCATTTGGGAAACAAAAACCAGCCTCCCTCTAGTTCAAATGCCCCACTCTCAGTAACTATTTCCCAACTGATAGAATCTATGGGATACCAAAAACAATACACCTTACCCTTGTCATTATCTGTATGAGGCTTATTATGAAAGTTCCCAAAGGTAAACACAAAGTTACCACAAAAATTGGTTGGTGCTGGAGGATTGTCCTTACTGGTGGCAGACATTGGTGGTGCATCCAACTCCCTGAGTAGCGATTGTGACTGAAGAAATGCCGCATCGGCAAAGGTTTCGAATCGAGATCCGACATTCAATCCAAAGTTAGGAAGTTGACTTAAAAAGAGGCGATACAGTGATAGCAAGGATCCAATAACGGGCCGATAAGGTGAGAACATGATATCACTCGCATACCCAGCCCTTTGGCCAAAACAGTACATATTACCCTGGATAAGCGCTCCATTGGTAGTTGGCCGAGTCTTCTTGGCTTCAGGCAAAGAATGATGTAGTGATTCATCTTGCAAATCAGATGAAGTAAGAGGTGTAAGAGGTGATGAATCAAGGGCATTATTATCCATGCTCGATATATCTTCCAAACCAGTATTCTTATTAATGCTAATCTGTCTATCAATTAATGACCGTTCATCAGTTGAAGTTGTTGTTTTAATTGATGTTTTAGTTGCTTGACATAAAGTTGCTTCAGTATTGGTAGTAAGTGGTTGGGGTTGGGCTTTGGGTTTAGGTGTGGTTGGTAGGCGTTGAAAAAGCTGGCTTGCCATCATGATAAAATCTACATCCTTTTGATGTTCATCAAAAGTTTCCTTCTTCATCTCTTCCAAGTCATCAAATTGAAAGGTACATATTAATTTCTTTGTAAGCATATCAATGAATTGGCCATGTCCATATTTGTAAACAGTGTAGAGGTTGGAGATAATCTCCATGGTACGCTCGTAATCTTCCACCGGTAGGACTGGATCGTTAAATCGTAAATTTTCCTTATTCAAGCCACCTCCAAGCTTTTTGGCATTTGCCGGTGACTGATCCGACTGTCGTTCTTTATTAGCTGTATCACTACGAATAACATGTCTCCTGCAGAAGAGATAGTCATGCAGATAAGGCATGATACTCAGTCCATAGCCTTGCGGAAGAACATGAATGAAGTAATGCTTACACAATTCCCTGGCGCCTGCTTTTTGGTGTTGCCACGTACTCAAGACCGGCGCAGTTGGCATTATGATCACCTTCAGCCCTATTGGTGTTATCATCACCTTCAGCTAAGTTGCGCAACCTGTTTTGGGCCCATAAACTATGGATACATACATTAGCATAGATCCATAGTTACTCCTGTGTAGTTGGTGACACACTTATGTTAAAGCTCTGGTACCTTGTTTGCGGCCCATTGCTGGAACTGAATATCTACAAGCTTCATGCAGCCAATATTCGGTTTTGGCGTAGCCATCCTTGGCCAGGTAGGTATGCGGAAAATGGATGAAAGACTTGAGTGCTATAAATGGCATAGGAAGCTGGAATGTGATCCATTTATGCTCAATTAGTTTAGCTGGAAACGTTACAAATGTACCGAGATTGTAATAACTTACGTCTTCTGTGCTATGTCCCTTCTGGCAATCTCGATTGATCCCTTCCAGGAGGTCTGAAAGCCACTTTACCCCAGGAATTCCATCTGGTTGCACATATCCACTGACAAATCATCCTTAGGGTTAGAAAAGAGCATGTGTAGATATCCTGCATATACAACAACCAAACACTGACCTCGGTTCCTCAATTACGCTTGAATACCTAGGCCTCTTTCTATGTAACCAATTGATATCCTTTGTAGGATGATTGAGAGCAACAATTGCTTCATCTTTGGCAACACTGAACGTAGGAGATATGAGCTGAGAGACAGAAGTGGTAAAAAGGAAGCAATATCTAGGTACTTACGTATCCAAAGACAATATCCCCTTTGGATTGTTCTTCATACTTGATCACTATGTGGTGGTCAGTCAACACAAATGCCATATTAGTTTTCTAAGGGTCATTACACACCCAAAATAGCAGCCAAATCACCCGACCTTACCAGATGGAGGGTTAGTAAAGTTACAGGTGATATACTTGCAAGGTCTACAAAGTCAATTGATGATATCAACCTGAACCCGCTAATAAACCTCCAGATGGTAGGCCAACTTCTTTGACTACTATTGGGTAAGTATGATCATGGAAGAACTGATAATTACCTCATACCACAAAATTCAACCTCGCCTAAGATATCAAGGTGTGAAGGTCAGAATTGATTGATTATCGATTTTGGTATTTTCAAGAAGGAAGAAGACAAGACTTACCAAGGTAAGTAGACAAGAGTGGAGTGGAAAGTTGTGAGTCTAGATCGCTTACCAATACAACCCAAATACAAAATTTTGTATACTTATTTTCCAAACACTACACAAAATATAATATTTTCTGGGCAGAAAATTAAATTATTGATACACAAAAATATTGAGAGGCCAGGAGAAGGGCAAAAAATAAATAAAAATATGCATCTTGTTCCCTGCGGTGAGAGCTTCACTCTCCATATTTTTCCATATTTTTACAGTCTGTATTGATAAGTGTACTAACAATAAACCTTCATAATCATCCAATTACAACCTGTAACAAGCACTGAAATTTGGCTCATTAGTGTTTAGAGAAACTTTTGATTTCTGAAAACACCTATAACTTTGTCGAATCTGCCTCAAAACACTCAATTTTAAGTGCATTAGAAAGCTGAACTCTTCACCTCGAACTTTCATAAGATCAAGAACTATGTAGCTAGTATGACAATCATTCTATGGATCTGTATGTACAAATGTATAAAAAAGATGATATCTTTTTTAGCAGACCAGCATGCTGTGTGGTCCTCTTATGAACTATGTGGAGGACAATTCCAGCTTACCAATGCACCCAAAATCGAGCGTTTTGGACCGGAATTGAAAAAGTTATGAGTATTTTCAGAAATCAAAAGTTTCTCTAAACACTAATGAGCCAAATTTCAGTGCTTGTTACAGGTTGTAATTGGATGATTGTGAAGGTTTATTGTTAGTACACTTATCAATATGGACTGTAAAAATACGGAAAAATATGGAGAGTGAAGCTCTCACCGCAGGGAACAAGATGCATATTTTTATTTATTTTTTGCCCTTCTCCTGGCCTCTCAATATTTTTGTGTATCAATAATTTAATTTTCTGCTCAGAAAATATTATATTTCTTGTAGTGAAATAAGATAGGTAAACAAAATTGGTCCAATTTTGGGTGTAAAGCGTTCATCCATTTCAATCTTATAACATCAATTTATTACACAATGATTAGCCATCCCTTGCCTAGTTATTACTAGGTGAGGTATGGTAGTATAGCGGGGTTTAGGCCTCCCGTATGGAGAGTTCTTCCGGGATAGTTACCTGGAGAACTCTCTCATTTGTGAGACCTGTTGCAGGAGGGCAAACAAGAGACTTCTGTGCGAGTCCTCTCAGATACAGGGGCTCACACAAGCCGCTTGTACCCTCCATGGTGTTACTTAACCTTCTACGCTTCAGCTGGGTGGGCGGGAGGACAAAAACTTTGTTAGTTCAAAACTGATGTCTATAAGTTGTACTCGTTAGGATTGTGAGGATGAGTATGAGGAGAATAATGATAATGTTAAGATGAGGACGAATCACGAGGGGACGGTGTGACTACCTTTGATTATACCACTTACACATGTGGTACACTCGGAGTTACGCTCGGACCTCCTCCTGACCTCTGGGTCGGATTCGATAAGATCTTCACATCTAGCATTTCACGTGGTACATTACCGCGACGTTACTCCTTCATGGACTCGTCTTGCATTTTGTGCCTCGAGCAAGAGGCAAAGAAACGATACGATAACAAATTTGATTAACTGATCTGAAATTTACTGAATCTGAATGTTAGAATACGTCAATTAGTAACAGTATGTATTCTGGAATAAGTATCTGAAAACAGCTTTTCTGATTGAGTACTTACTTATTCAAAGATGGTGAAAAACAATCGATACTTTGTTACTTTGATATCAATAGTCGTTTCAATCGATCCAAAGTCACCAAAGGCCAGTTATGATACAATACAAACGATATGTAAGGAGCTGATCTAAGGAGCTCTTCCGATTGTTCCAAAGTCACCCAAATCCCAGTCCTGATACAAATCAGTTGGAAAAGTTTGAGTTAGATGAAGATTGGAAATTGCAATCACTCAACCTGTTTAAAAGATACTAATTGAGATCGATCGATCGATCAATCACACTCAAGTTACTTTTAATGATTAGAAAGTATTTGTTCTGATTGAGAGTATGAAGTGAAGAAAGCTGTATTGTTTGAAGGAGAGTTGTTGATATATCAAAGATACGATGAGAATAAAGAGGAAGAATGAGATATCAATTATCAATTCAAATTTAAGGAAGTCTTTAAATATAAAAGAATAAATAGTACATACCAATCAAAAAAAAACTTGAAATGTTTTCTGATGATCTGATTTTAGGATACAATTACCATATCACAATCAAACACAAAGTAAGCTTAGTTGTTTTGATGGGTGATTGATTGAGTTACTAACTAAATGGTGATGACAGTTAGATATATCAACCTCATTTGCTTTTTTTGAAGAAAAGAGCAAGAAGTTCAAAACCCTGCGCTAAATTCGTTTGTTTATAGGTTGCTTGTTTGTTGGTTTGTTCGTTTTTTCGTCTGTTTGTTATGGTTTTCAACAAGAATTGATGAAATTCAGCTCGAGTTCGTAAGTCCGACAATACAGTTGGTAAATCACAGGAGATCACGAGGCAACACGTGATCCCAATAAAGCTTGTACATGTACGCACAACCTGGGGAAAATCTGAGTTTGGACCAATTCAAGATATTCTTGTTGAACTTGCTTTGGTATTTGTTAATGCAAGAGGCAAAGAAATGAAGGTTTTTTTAAACAAACGTGATATTCAGGTACACTCAAAAAAATAAAACACATCTGACTGAAAAAAGTAACACAAAAGCAAACAACTGTTGCAAGCAAAGGTTCTCAAATGCACACAATGAAAAAAACTTCACTGAACCTATTGGTCTTATAAGTTTTGAGACCACTGAGTATTATTGATTGAGTTGGATCTTCTACTGATCGGACTAAACTAATTTTTCATTTGTTAAACACTTAGGATATTGGACAGTATAAATGTATAAAAGACATTGACAAAAAGCCCTTTCTCCATCAGTTCTCGCATTCTTCCACACCATCATCATCACTTTCGTCTATAAATTTGTATTCACTTTTGTGCAAAGTTTCCAATTCTTCATCTTCAATTTCTTCAATTTCTTCATCGTCTTCGTCTTCATATTTGTGATTTTGAGAATTGTTCTCTGATTTTCAATCATCGAGGTTCAGGTCCTGCTCTTTCAAAATTTGATGCATTGCTTCGAGGAGATCCCACACAGAGTTGATATCCAGTGTGTCTACATTCCAACCTAGTTGAGATATCAAATTGGTGAACAGAGTACTGAATGGTTCGACTGTTACCACAGACAGTTCATCCCCGTCAGGATAGTACTTATCAAGCATTGCCTGTACAACATCGGCCGGTACAGGGGTAATGCCTTCTTCTCCATTGTAATCTTTGGGGACAAAATAGCATACATCGGCTGGTACACCAGTCGGAAGGGCAGAGTTACGGTTCTTGCGTGTCTGGTAAGAATTCTTTTCTTCAACATACTCGGCCATCATACGCTGGACTAGTGGGATGAATAAATGTAGAAAAAATGCCCTGTAGGAGAATTAAGGTTAACTGATAGTGGAGAGGGAGATACTCATATAGAAAGTGAAATGACTTACTCTTGAAGTGGATCACTTGGGTTGTAACGCCCTTCATCTACTGCCTTTTTGATATTCTTACGAATTGAGATGTTTTTTGCACGCATCAATTGTGACCAGAGTGATTTGATCTTTTGATTAAATGTTGATTTAGTAAAGATCTGTCTCTTTCTAGCTTCATCTGCATCATCTTGGTGGAAAACTCTAGCAAACGCCATTTGATGAGTGGCCATATTTAATGTCTCAGTTCCATGATCGGTAGATGTTTGTTTTGGAAAGCCTCCACATGCTGCAACAGTTTCAAGAAATTGAACCCCAATTCGTCGAGGATCGTTGTTGTTCTTACCAATCTTCAAGCTAAGCATTTGACGCGACCAGGTGTCAATGATGCCATACATGGTAATCCTGTAACGTTTAAGTTTGTCATGTCCATCGCTTGCCCATGTGTGATTTGGGCCACGCACATGGTAGACTCGTCGCTTCAATCAATGCCTTTTACGCAAAGCAACCCCATTGGCATCGACAACCGAAAGGAGTTTGGCCACAGCGTTTCGATTGAGCCGGACGGATTTGGCAGTTCCCATGATATGAGCCATACGATGTGATCCTGCATTTTCATCACCAGCTTGTTTCCTTTCAATCATCTTTCTTGCTGCTTCCTCAGCTGTAATAAGACCCAGCTCTATATCATCTTTACGCCAATGCAATCCTATTTGTTTTGATAATGATTTGAGCATCGTCATTGTAAATAAAGGAAACTTGTGACGGGTTTGTATAACTCAAACCACTTCTTTTTGTTGCCATCGTTTGGTATGATATTCCTTCATGAGAGTTGCACACTGATCTTTGTTGGCTTGACTGAGGCTAGGTTGAGCAGTACTCAGCTTAAGTCGCTGGAGATGTCTTTGGAGGCTACAAAGAGACAGATTTTTGTAAGTAGATTGCTGACAAAGGAGGTCTAGTAGTTGTTTCTGGGTGAGTTTTTGTTGACAGTGTTCAACCAAGAGTTCATCGAGTCCTGGGTCCAAGGGCATACTGATCATGAAGAATCTACTGGCGGTTGTAATGATCAAATCAGTTTGTAGCATTCATCAAGAGATGTGGAATGAGAACTTACTTGTATATATGCACGCAGTTGTGTGTAAGGAGGTTGGTGTTGAAGGGGGATGGTATACTGTACACTGATGAAAGTGTAATCTTAAGACTGGCGAAATTGATCTTGATGCCAATGAAAGGGCTCAGTGGGTGTTGATGATTGTTTGAGATGATTTTCGAAATGAGGTGTGTAGTTTTGTGTTATGTGTATATGTAAAGTGGCGGACACCCCACTGTAATAGACAATTGATGATTTGATTTTGGGAGTGGCGGACCCCCCTCGCTCAGGGCTTCCGTATTTGAAGCTTCACCAAACACTCTCATCATTGTTTGTACATCCAATGACTGATTCGCGCTCTTGCTTGTCACGACCATATCTACCGAGTTGTCCTTTTCAACATTCGAATGGTCAAGCTCCTCGTCTTCTATGTTGTCATTGTCAGATTCGGCTTGGTAAGCACCATTATTCAATTCTTGCTCGCCAACAATTGAAGGCTTGATCAATAAAGAGATCCTACGTGCCTTCAAATCAACCTTGACCAGAGCTGCTTGTAGCCTCTTACCTTCCTTGTATGTTGATTGGTAAAAGAGGTGGGTTAGTAGCATCAAGGCTACTATTACAATAATTGCGTATTTTCAAAGTTGGAGCCAAAGTGATTGGAAGTTTATCTGTTTTGAAGGGGTCTATAGGTGGTGAAGATCGGGAAATGAATTTGATTGATTGAGTGATGTAATAATGAGATGTTAAAAGGGCCAAGGATGTAACAGAAAAAAAGTCAATGATGTCATAGCTATTGAAAGAAAAGCTATTGGAAAAGATTACTGAACATAGAGAGTATAAAGCGATAAACTCATGATAGGTAAGATGATCAAAATCTAACGTATTTCAGTCCATTTCTTTGTATGAGGAATCGATTGATCAATTGATTTGTTGGGTGATGATGATGAATGAAAAAACTAAGTTGGTTTTCCTGGAACTTGAGTGATGGTTGAATGAGACCAAGACACAGTGGTTTGCGGCCCTGGCTTTCTTTTTGTTGATGATATTTCCCCAAAGGGGCGCAAAGCAAGTCAACTAAAACCAAATGAGGGCATCATTGTGGGATGACGCCCAAGACCGGAGCCCCCCAGGTCCAGCTCAGCGCTAGTGGTGCTCGGGTTTTGTCCGGTACCTTGGGTAATGCCCCAAAACATGGGGGGCAATAAATAGTGGGCTCCTATGTAAATATACGTACAGGTGACCTAGGCGGCAGATAACTTCCAAACACCACTCCTAACCTATATTCACCCGCGAAAAAACCAAAAGAAAATAGGAAATTTTCCCAAAAATTCTGGACCCAAAACTCTATGCGGGGCGGGCTTGGAACACGTACTCGGGTTTAACCACTGCATAACAACCAACCAGGAATGGACTGGATTCCAAGAGAACCTGGAATATGGTCAAAACACTGAGGACAGGCTGGATTTGGGAGCTGGTGTGTTTTGGATGAAGTTCATGGCAATGTTGGACAATGTCACTTGGAAGGGGCAATCAGGTTTATGTCTATGCTGGGTATGGTCAATAGAATTTCAAAAGCGGGTGTTGCCACTTGCCCATCTGTTACCCATAATGAACAAGGAATCCCTGCCACAATCTGCTGCCAACATCAACAAACACGTCTTGGCAAATTTACCAGGTGCAACTTCAAGCTGTGGGTTGCGCTGTGCAGTCAAAAATTTCACAGACCGGGGTTGTGGAAGAATGGGAAGTGCTGTTCAAATTACCATTGAACCAGCTCCGCAGTAACAACAATTCCCAAAAACAGCTACACCACAGGAGGGTTCTGTGTCTGCAGAGCGCCTGCTGCGAGGGCTGTCTGTAGCTGGGCCTCAGGGCGGCCTGAAATGGTCTTACCCCATCTCAAAATGGTCTGCAGAGAGCCCGACGTTTTTGAGAGCGCATTAGACCATTAGGGAACACCCTGGGGTCCAGCAACAGACGGCCTTCCCGGCAGGCGGGCTGCAGACACAGACCCCTCCCGCCGGTGTACGCAACTTATGCATGGCCAGCACATGAACACATGTTTGAAGTTGACCATCAACAATAAACAAATTGTGATGTTGTACCTTAAAATGTGTTCCTCCTCATGAAGTACGGGTGTCATATAAACATAGAAATCCAATTCAGTGTGTGTGGAATTGAGTATATCTACAAATAAACGTTTAAACGGTATGATTGATCTGCACTTTTGATGGAATGTGAATATGAGCCATTGAAATATGTAAATGGAAGGTGTATCAGTGCACCCAAAGGTGTGTGATTTGCTTTTTTTCCTCTCATGGTATTTTGTGACTAACTTCTCTGTTGGCAGCCACGTGGAAGCTGTTCCATTTTGACATGAGAGGCAGCTATCCCTGTGTTCATCGCTTGTTGTTACATTTAGAAGGCACCCCACAAATCTATTACGTCAATGGGGAACAGCTGATTGAGAGGTTTGACGATGGCAGAGCCGGTAGGACCACTCTAACTTAGTTTTTTCCGCCAGCACGGGAACCTTTTACCGTGACACCAGACGGTCCCGTGGTTCAAGATCTGTTTTATAGCAAGATGATTAAATACTTCTCTTGGAATGATGAAGGGCGTGTGTGGAAGGTCAGAAAGGGGCAATGTAGAAGACTCAGAAGAAACAAGTAAATCAAACAAAGCCTTTGCCAAATGGCTACTGACGGTAGGGAATGGTAGCCATCAGGAAGCTGGCTTTGGAACAGCTGACATCGGCAAATGTAGTATAGTCAGTATTACGTAGAACAATGGACTCCCCATTGGTCCAGCTCTAGCAATATACAGTCATCCCGCAATGTGAGCATAGCGTTTGCCGCAGAGAACTCCATCCTGACACGGTGAAATGCATACTTGCAAAGTAGGCACAAGAGCACAAAACAAATGATTTTATGTTACATGCTAGTATTTTGTTCATAACGGCATAATTTTGAATTGAACAGCATAGGCTGGGTGAGTATAGGGGGTGAGGGTATAGCGTAAGGTCTAGGGCCTGTATAGTATGTAGAAGACGGACAAAAAACAATGATATTCAAAGGAGAAGGGACAATTTAAATAAGTTCAACGAGTGGGTGATGTAGAAAGCATGTAGAAAACAAAAAAACAGTATACGTAAAACAAGCAACAGAAATCGACTAGATAAGGAGGAGTTGAGTGAAATAGATAGAAATTGGTTCAAGATTGAGAAGTTGAAGCTGAGTCTGAGGTCATAGCTGCAGGTCCAAAGCATTCCAAAAGATTGGTTTGTTTCAGTGGCGCAACATGTATGTGATTTACATCATCACTGATCTTGTACAAAGATCAAAGATGAGTTGCACAGCTTATCGTGCTATTGAGTTTGTTGAGCCGGCTGGCTGAGGCATAACTGATCTTTTCAATTGCTATTTAGTGTCCAAGGTTTGCGGTAGCCTTCTGGTTTGGGTTTGCTATCTGGATCTTCTTGGATTTCAATTGGATTTTCATTTGACTCTTGACAATTTCTTTGAGAGAAGGCATTGGGCCCTTGACTTCTGGAGTTTGTTGTTTGATCTCAGGGTTGAGAAGCTCTTGGATGCTGATATGGGAGCTGCCTCTGCTTTCCTCTGATTGTTCATAATTTCCTAGCACTGACAGTTCTTCTGTAGTTGCTCCAATTGTATGCTGAGGTTCAGGATCATCAGCTGAAACTTGTTCAAATCTATCAGACCACGACTTAGAAGTGGTGTTGAATGATAAGGCTGCATGATGGTGGTGTGTTTCCAGCAGTTCTTCATTGTCTTGGCCAAGGTTTTGTCCCAGGCTTGTGCAGCCATTTGCATGGCTTCAAGAAAATTTAATTTCTACATAGATTTTGATGTCCATGTGGATTTATTTTTGTATCTTCTGATTACACAATGTAGGTAAGCGCCTTGATAGTGAGCCTTGAAAGCAGTGATGATGTCTGCATCATGTGGCTTCAGGACACTAGTCATGTTGGAAAGAAAAAAGTGAACCTTGACGTTGGTGAGCTTGATCGTTATACACGCAACCACATGACCGGAGAAGTTGTCACGTTTTGGTCTGCCTTCCGGAATTGAGCATCAAGCTTGGTTAACCATTCACCAAAGATAATAGCTGTCATCCAAGCTTTGACATTAGCAATGTAGTCAAAACCATAATATGAGGCAGCATGTTGGCCAGATGGCTTGGGATTCTTAGAGACACCAATGACCAGGGGTTCAAGCTTGTCACTGCCATTGGCGTTGCAGCCAGAATGATAAGCTACTTGGACTTTGTTACCCTTCAGTCCAGAAGTCTTTATGTTTGCAAGGGTACAATAAGGTGGCATTCTAGAAAAAAAAGAAATGAGAGCTGATCATTTACAGAGTAAAGGAACTTCAACACTCACTTGTACATCAAGCCTACTTCATCTACACTATATATGTCACAAGGCACCTAATCCTTTGTGATTTCGATGAAGAACTTGCAAGCTTCTTCAGCGCTAATCATAGGATCAACGACCCAAGCTTTGCCAGAAATGAGTCAGCCTCGGTTGTTGTATTGCTTTTTGAATTTGCCAATCCACCCGCCAGGGAACTTCAGCTCAACTCCAGGGAGAGGGGCTAGAAATATTGCTTTCTTGCCAAGGACTTACTTGCTGATAACGAGCTTATGTGATACTGCTTCAATGAAGCAGTGGAATAGAGCTTTCTCCAGCTTAGGGTACATTGCCCTCCTTTGGCGCTTGACAGCATGGCCGCTGTGCAGAGTCCTTGCCTCCATCTTTTGATGTTGAGCAAGCCAGTGACTAGTGAACATTGGGTGATTTTAAATTTTGTCAAAGTTTCATTCTGAGTAGCTTTGTGCTTGTGATTCCATCCAACAACTTTGAGCCTGAACTTGAGATTGCGCACAGTACAAGATGCCTTGAACTTAGGAGCTTGGGGGGGAAGTAATGTCGTTTTTTGTCTTTGAATGAGGCAAGGGAGGGAGTATTGTTGCTGGATGAATCAGAATCACTTGAGATATCTACTGGCCAAGAATGTGGGCTGACCGATTGGATTTGTCGCTGGGGCGCAGTGGGCTTAAGAGCAGTTGCAGGGGTAGTTTTCTTGCCTGATCCTAGAAATTGTGCTGACCTATCTGGAACCTTGGAACCATTCTCGAAAGCAATATCGTTTCAACGGAAGAGGTCATCAACAACCATAAGGAATCATGCTCACCTTTCAGCTTTGAGCAAACATGGTTGAGTTTGACCACAATTATCATCTATGATTCCTCTTGCTTTTCCTTTTGCTAGGTATTCAATAACGAACTGAATTCTGTGTATCCCTTTTCAGAGATACTTTGCTCCACATTCAACACCAAAAACATTGTCAAGCTTTGTGACCAATTCCATTCCAACTTCTTCAGGATGAACACCCAAAATAATGGTGCCTCACAGAATGTGACATAAATGTAATCATCTCTTGCGGCAGGCTGAATTTTTGGGCAGTGTTGAGCAAGCAGCATTCACCGGGTCTGAATTCTATGCTCACAAAGTGTTAGCAAAGCTTTTGACAAGCTTGTTGCTTGATTGATGACATATTGGTGGGGGGCTGCGCAAATGATTACACACACAGCTCAAGCCAATTACCACAGTGTTCATGTGTTTCCTAAGGGCTGTTATGACATTGCACATTACTTACATGCATAACAAAGAGCCTTTGTCAGGTCAAATTTCCCACCTTCCCTTCAGACACGCTTTTTGCAAGAAGTGTTCTTGCATGTGCGTGTTTACAAAGCTCTGCATTAATCAAAGGAGCTGCTACAATGGAATCAAATGGTGAGTTGGTGGTATTCACTTCTGATTGGATGCACCAACAACAAGACACCCTATCCAACGCCTAACCACCAGCAAAATCTTTTGCGAATTTTAGTGCGCTGCACTGCGCAGCAGCGCACTCGCAGTGGCCAAATTCTTCATTGCGCGCAACCACAACGCAATGGTTTTCTGCAGTGATGTAATTGAGGATATTTGCACTGGAATGGCTGGAATTCAGGGTATTGCGCCTTGTATTGCGGTGGAGTGATCAAGGGATGAGGGGAGAGGGTGCAGGTTAAGAATGGAAAGGAAGAAACAAGAATCAACATCCTTTTTAGACATGATTTGTACTGGCTCTAGCACGTACCTATTTAGACCCTCCACTATATACTGAACTACCCCTTCAATCACGCAATCCACATACCTTCTGTCACAAAGACCATCAACAATGGACCTTGATATGGTGCATTTGACTGGACAACACCAGCTCAAAGCGGACCAAAGATACACACTGCATCAGCAAGGGGCAAAGATGGAAACAAACTCAGTATTTTTCCTCCCACATTCCCATGAAATTTTTTTCTTGCTTCAAAAGAAGAATCATAAATATTTACTTTTTGTTTTCGTTGTCATTCCCTCCCCAGCTAGCTTTTCATTCTCAGGTCTGTTCATCTTTTTTGGTCATCACTTCTCGTTATAAACCGGGTGTGGCTGCTGCTGCAAACCCCAAGGCAGCCAATCAAGCCCGCACTGAAGCTGCCAAGAAGGCAGCACAAGCAGCCTCCCGATTGTCCTCGTCATTGCTCCACGCTCCTTCACCTTCTGAAAGCCGCAGCCTTTGTCCACATAGCCCCCAATCAACCCGAACAGATCCTGGTTTTGTTGCCCAGCCACGAGATTCACGTCTTGCAGCTGACAACCCAACAAGTGACAACAGAGAAGGAGATGAATCATCCTCTCAATAATCATCATTGGCCGAGTCCACAGAAGAGCAATCTGGGAGAAAGGGAAAGAAGAAAAGACGAAAGCTTTCGAAAAGCAAGAAGGGAAAGGGTTGAGCAAAAAGCAAAACAAAGGATGTGAAGATTGTCTCGCTCACCTTTTAGTCATATTGAGTGTCTCTTTGTCATGTATTCAGCGTTCTCAAGTCCCAAAGGCACTTGTCAAAATGGTTGAAAATGATTCCGATTATGAGATGATTCCAAACCCAAACCCGAAAAAACCTGGAAGAGCGAAGCAAACAGCTGGAGATACTGACGAGCTATTCAATTACTATGATAAACCTGAATGGGATGAAGAGAACGTAAGTCAGTTTCTAAAAGTCCTTTGAATCACCTATCACTCACTTTTCTTTTGATTTTTGATCTGTCTCTCGGACTCTTCATCTCTCTTCATCTCTGTTTCTTCCTCTCTCTTTATTGTACACAGCCTGAAGACACCAAACCGGAGTCATTCCCTTGTAAATGGTGTGGTAAGTCTTATCAAGACGGAGCGACCAATCACTTTAACCTCAAAGGTCACCGGGATGGTGCAATCGGTCGTAAACCCTGCCGTTCCCGAGACAAAGCCATCGCAGCTGGTGTCAAACTACTTCCAACCCATCAAGAAGAAGTTGAAGCAGCAAATAAAGCCAAAGCAGCCAAAGGACCCAAGACATTGCTCCTTGACATGTTTTTGGAGATATCAAAGTTCACAGTACGGTTGCTGAACTGCATATTTGTCCTGTGGCTAGTCAGACAAGCACTACATTGGAATCAAATGGCTGATCCCTTGCTGATTGCGGCCGTTCAATTTGCTAATCCATCTGCTGTTTTGTACACACCAGCTTGGGCTGCAAGAGAAGCAATGAAGCTTTACAAAGGTATGCACAATGATGTGATACAAAGATTACAGGTGAGCTTTCTCTTTTGTCTCCGTAGTAATTGATAATCTTCTTCTGATATGCACATTTATTATAGAATCTGCCTGGAAAATTTTGCTTGAGCCATGACGTCTGGACAACCAAGCGGGGCCGACAAGCCTTCATTGGGGTATCAGTTTTGTACATCAACAAGCACTGGAAATTCCATGTTCACCATCTCACCCACAAGCTAGTTGCCTGGAACCATTATGGAGCTCTCCTTGCTCGGCCAGTTGGATGTTTTCTCATTAGGCTTAACCTTCACAAGAAGATATGTATTTCTATCATTGATATTTTTGATTGTTTCCAATACTAATCTTTTGTTTTGTTGTTTTGTTTGATTTTTGAATATCTACATGGTAGCTCAAACCACAGACTCTGGGGGCACCAACAATCTCACGGCAAAAGAACTGGAGGACATGTTTTGATCAGCTGAAGACCCAGTCTATTGGGATTCAAGCTGACATCAAATTCGAAGCTATGCTCACAAGCTGGCATTGACTGTGAAGGCTGGTCTTGCGAGTCTTCAGGTTAAGTCAGGAGTGTGTAAACCAACTGCGCCCAAAGGACGAAAGCTTCCCTTACTTTTGCCCGATCTTCCTAAAAACCACAAGCCGCTTCCAACGATCATTCTCAATTAAGGTGACAACTTAATCGGAGATTGTGATGAAGACATTGAAAATCCACCCTATGAAGGAGATAGCAGCCTTAAACAGTGCATGGAAGACGATGAATCTGAGGTTGATGGCAAAGAAGATGACAATGCCGATGAAATCAAAGCCTCAGAGATTGTTTCAGGTGATTCATTTTCAAGAGCAATTCACAAGGTCGGTTTTCCTAAACAATGATTTCTCTTTCCATTCCCCATACTCAAGCAACTTCTCCAGCTTACAAGTTTCTCTTGAACAGTGCTCAAAGGTTAATAAAACAATCTCAAGGAATGGACCATTAATGCAACTTTTTCATGTGATTGCCAAAGAAGAAGGCTACACAGGACCAGGCTTGATTGCAGCACACGGTCAGCGCTGGAACATATTCTTGGACATGTTGGAACGATTGCTGAAGGCTAAAAAGGTACTTGAACCCTGTTGTAATATTGGAAACTGCAATAAACACCAACGGTCTTTGTTCAAGATTGTCAATCGGATGTTAAACAAAGATGAGGACAACAGCTTTGATGGCGTATTCGTTTCACCAGAGCATTGGAAGATGATCAAGGCTCTTACCAATGTGCTACACGTGGGTAGAGGTTTTTTTCCTTTCAACATTGGGTATTTCCTTACTAATAGTTTATTCAATCGATTCAGATCTTCTATACCTCAACCAAGTGCATGGAAGGTGATGCTCCCAACGCAGCATTGGTCTTGTTCCAGTACACGACAATTGTCGGTGCCCTCAAAGCCATCAGATCCAACACTCCGTACGCTCGGCTAGCCAGCATGATCCGCATTATGATTGTTTGACTTGAAGATTATCAAGAAGAAGCTCTCCATTGTCATGCGATCATCATGGCAACTATGTTGAATCCAAAACTTCGAGGCAAATTTTTTGAAAAACTTTTTCCTGAATGGAGCGAGTCAGCACACAATGTCTTGAAAGAAGTATATGATAATTTACTTCAAGTTCATCCCCCCACCGCATCCCCGACTCCAAAGGTTGCTTAACAATCTGAGCTCACCGCTCATAACATATTCAAGGAGTGCAGCATTTTTGCTTCACAAACTGAGGCCGAAGAACCTGGTGATGCTGAAATTCACATGTGCGACGACAATCAAGACATATTGGATTGGTGGGCAGTGAGTTGAATCGATCTCTTTCTCTTCATTATTTTCCCCTTATCCTGACTTTTTTTTTTTGCTTCGTCAGTGTCATGAGCGTCATTCTCCAACCTTGGCTTCACTTGCACGTGACTACCTTTGTTGTGTAGGTACGTCATGTGTCTGTGAGCGCACATTCAGTGCTGCTGCAGATTTGATCACGGCTGATTGGGGTGGTTTGGCTTTGCACACAATCAAGCGCGCTGTGGGATATTGTGAGTGGCTTAAAAAGCACTTCGTGCCCCCAGGAGATCATGGAGAAGCCTTGCGTATTGCAGAGAAAATAATGGGTAGGCAGAAGAAGAGTAAGAAGAGCTTTTAGTTATCGGGCAAGAAAGTAATCATTCATTACATCAAAATATCAAGGTTCAGCAGAAATTCAATGTGTCTCAATCATGTTGTTTCCCTCTTTGTACCCACCTTTCCTTAACTCTGAAGTTCCACCCTTTCTTAGTAGTATGAAACCAAAGGCGTCTGCCAGCTTTGTGAGAGCAATTTTCGCAACTTCTTTGGGTTGCGAGGAAAAAATTGTGTTGCGGTAAAATTGAGATCACCGCAACAAAATACAAACTTTCTGGAGTTCATTGCGCTCTCAGCGAAGCGCAATAGAACCATGCAGGGAGTTTTTTTGGGCGCAGCGCAATTTTTTGCTTTTTGCACTGCATTGCATTGTGGTTAGGCATTGCCCTATCCCTCTAGTCCAACCCTTGTTGGGATTTCAAGACTGCCCCAAGATCATCCATCTGTCATATTTGATGATTCCCGAATATTTCACTCAAATATAGAGTCCGAGGCTTTACTTGACACCTACAACAAACTCCCTCCGCGACAGAAGGCAAGTGGTCCTTCAACTTGAGCTAGTTTTTGTATCCTGGTTGGGGTTTCTCCAATGACCTCTCTAATGACCTCTCTTGTATTTTTTTCCGTCCCTTTGTTTTTTGTGAAAGGGATCAAACACAAATAGGGAAGTTGTACTTTTCAAACTTGAGTTTAGGGGCATGTTTGGTATGACTTACAAAAGTTTGTACCTTTTGAAAGCTACAAACTTTCTGACCCCGGAAAGTCGATTTTTGTTTCAAGATGACTTTTATCAAAAAGTCAACTTAAAAGTACAAAAAAGCCATAATTTGTTTGGCAGTGTATCAACTTCCTACACATCGACTTAAGTTTTCTCAATCATTGCACTCAACTCAAATGAAAAACGGACAGACCAATTGCAAACACAATGAACTTATGATTGAATTCAAAACAACAACCATATGAGAAAAACTCCTTCGAATGAGGAACATTTGGGACATGACAATAAAAAGTTGACAAAACAACAAGAGTATGATCAATCAATGATTGATTTTTTGATAAGCTTTTGAAGAATGAGAACGCGTACAAATTGAGGAACAACTCAAGAACAGTAAACAGAGATTGACTTCAGTTGACATCATAAAATTCAATCAATGATTGAGTATGAGCTTGTGATGAAACACACAAGAGTGGTTTTGGAAGATGTTGACGTGAAACGAAGGGAGGACAGGGGGTATCAAAAAGGGAACTTGTTGTTATCAAAACAAAAGGAAGTCAAATGAAATCAGTTAGAATAAGCTACTTATTGAGAAAATAAGGAGCTCCTTGGGTCTTTATTTTAAGTGACAAAATACACTACTTATTGGTAACATAAGTAGCTTTGAGAAGCTCTCAAAATTCCGTGCCAAACAGCCTTTTCAGAATCTGACTTTTGAAAGTCAAATTACAACGTGAGTAGCTTGAATTAAGCCACACCAAACGTGCCCCAAGGCTTTTCCAATTATTTGTCTCATGTTTTTTCTTTCTGGCCCTTTGTATTTATTAAAAGGAATTGATGATAATATTGCAAGGGTGATTCAATTCAATTGAAGGGCTCGGTAGAGTCGAGCAGAGCTGAGCAGCAATGTGAGAAATGCAATTGAGGAGCAAAGTTTATTTGTTGCACTTAGTTCAAAATCCATAAGTACATTTGAGTCCTCATCTCCAGCAGATAGGACATCTTGGTAACTTGTTTGGAGGATTTTTTCTCTAACATGTTGTGAGCATAGAATTCAGGCCCGGTGATTGCTTTCAGTCATAAGGTCTTGAAGGGATGAATCTGGCATGATGTTTATACAATCAATTACGGAGACAATGTTTTAAAAGATGTAGAGAAGAACAAATATCTTTTCCAGATCAGGGATGAAAAAATCTGAATGTAGCTGAAATCTCATACAAAATTGTCTTTGGAATGTTTGCGACTATTTGAATAAAATTGAATGCCTTCAAAGGTTCAAATGGGACAAAGAAAAATAACCTGTATCACATATAAAAGAAAAGAACACAACAATCATTTGATATTTCTCACGCTACTTGACTCTTTTACAAAATTAGACAGCTTGCATACTGTGATTGTATGTACTTATTAGAACAATGTCAGCACATGCACCCTTAATATAGTGCCAGATGCTTACATGCACACTTTTTGACTTGCTTTGTGAGCATCAAACATGTTTTTTGGCAGATCACCGTATCTAATACTCATTATGCATCAAGGATTTTTTTGCCGCGCTCTGCGTTCACAAGAAATCAATGCAAAATTTCCAATCCTTATAGCATGATATGCATACATACTACTTGCATGCATTGAGGGATGACTCTAATTGATAAGATCAATGGATTGGTTTTCTTTGGCAAGATTTTATGTGGAATGTTGAACATGGTAGCTGTCAACAAGGCATGTTTAAGCATGGTCAAAGGAGAGGAGTTGGTTTCATCATCAATTGACATCACGGATGAAGACTACAATGAACCGGTATCAACCAAGATCCTGCATTCCTGCAACTTCCTGTCTTTCCCTCGGCAGGTACCCACACTGTAGCAAGGTATGCCCATCATTTTGCTCAGAAATCTGAACTTGGCTGTGGGTTTGTGTGACGATACAGTGATGATTCCTCAGATTAAGCTTTTGCAAGAGGGTAATGAAATGTTCTTGCTTCAAGTTCACCAACATCAATTTCCAATAGAAATAGTTTACTGTATGGCTATAAACAAGTCACAGGGGCAATCTCTCAATAAAGTAATAGTGTTGTTACCCAATCCAGTATTCTCACATGGTCAGCTCTACGTAGCATTGAGTAGATTCATGTCGGCTGTAGAGGTGCCAATAAGCACACTTGATACATTTGGAACAACCAGGACTGTCAGTGTTGTGCATCAAGCATCTATTAATGAATGATGTGGTGATTACAATTACATATATATGTGTTTAATAATTTTATATGTTGTGATGTTTGTTTTAAATGATTTGGTTTGCGGTGTGAGATGCTCAAAACAAATGTGCCATCAAGGGATATTGTGACCAAAAGGCATTTGAGCTCCCATGGGGATTGTTTGATGTCACTTGCGCCAAGCAACTGATTGAAATTATCTCTGCAATGTTTAAATATCACTGTGCTATGATTGTTTTTCTGTAATTGATGTACTAAACCTATAGCAGAACTGAGGCATGGAAAGTGAGTAAATTGAAATGGAGCATGTGGAAGCTACATTGCCAAAAGGCGGCTGGCCGTCCAGGGTCTAGTCTAGATCTAATTGCGAAGTTGAAACAGAGACAGTAGGAGACAAAAATTGGGAATTCTCATTGAAAACGGAATGTGGTGGCTTGAACAGCCCTTGATAGTTTGCCTGGTCTATCTCAAACTCTTCCATCTTCAAAGACTCAATAGAAGGAGATAATAAATTGGAAACAATATTCTCTAGAAGGGGACCAGTGAAAGGAGTATCAGTAAAGAATACTGACGGATGATGGTGAAAAGCAGAACTAGGGGGGATGGGATGCTTACTGATCTTGTTAGCTCTGCTCCCCTTTTCCCTTTGGGTTTGGGTCCAAATTGTCTTGCTTCATCCTCTTCACCAATAAGATCATGTCCAGTAAGTTGGATGTGTTACCCACAAAGGAATCAATCTTTTTATTATGTTTTCAAAGATTTGTCTGATCTTGCAACGTACACTCATTGAACGGCTCATTCTTG